ATTTTTTTCCTTGGCCAGCTGGAACGTTCGGCCAGCTTAGTGCAGGATCCGGAAAGTGGTGTCGTGCGCAAAAATGCAAAGAAAAGCGCCACGCACATCACAATGCGCATACTGATGCAGGCCTTCACGATGACTTTCCTAGCCGAATGGGGCGATCGCTCGCAACTCACCACSATTATTTTGGCCGCTAGCAAGGTATGTACATTTTGCTTTTTTGCTTCACTTCTTAGACTATGATAATTTATTTTTCGCTTTGCGTATTACAGAATGTCTACGGCGTCATTACCGGCGGTATTATTGGCCACTCCATCTGCACCGGCTTGGCTGTGATCGGTGGACGCATGGTGGCCGCTAAAATTTCTGTACGCACTGTTACCATAATTGGCGGCATTGTATTTGTTGGATTTGCTGTGTACGCTTTGATTGTGAAACCAGACGATATTTAAAGTGCAACTTAAGCAAATTGAAACGAAAGGCAACTCAGACAATGGACGACATTTAATGGAAGAATGATGGCAACATAGCAAATAATTTACAGTTATTACACATTTTGAAACTAAAAAACAGTATACACAAAAATAATGATATATTTTTTACAARGTGCTCAAAAGGAATTTACAAATTTTCGTTTTTTTTTTATATTTAAATATATATTTTGTTCTTAGACAAATTTCATACTTTCACAACTAAAGTGCCTTTAATGCTATTTTGCGATTTTGTAAGTTTTTGTATAAGCGAATATGCGTTCACAAATGAAAAGAAATACAAAAGCAATAAGCAAACATGACATTTTTTAGTTGTTTTCARTAAAAAAGTTTTCAATTTTTTGTGCACTAGCTAATAATTCGCTTCAAACAAACCACACTTTTTAGAAAAATTCTTGTAAATTAGTTTATGTTGCACTTAATATAACAAAATTTTTGCCAAATTACTTAAAGAACGCTGTTGTTTGTTTTATAGATACACAATGTAAAGCCAAGCAGGGAAGCATATTAATGTGGGGTAGCAAGAAAAAAAATTAAATGCATATTTAGAGCACAATAGACGATATTGATTTTTGGAGACATTAGTACGGTTTTTGTTATAGCATATTTGTTTTGTAACGGTTCACAGCCGGTACAAGCTGTTTMAAAAGCACCTAACCTCAAAATTATTTTCGAAAAACCTTTAAACTGTAACAATAGTTAGAAGATAATAATATCCTCTCATATTTAT